AGAGCCGAGGCGGAGCGCAAACGGGACGAGCGAGCGGCCCGCCGGGCGCTGGCCAAGGAGCGGCGGAACCGGCCCGAGCCGGGCGGCAGCAGCTGCGAGGAAGAGTTTGTGAGCTTCGCCAACCAGCTGCAGGCCCTGGGGCTGAAACTGCGGGAGGTGCCGGGGGACGGGTGAGGCGGACCGGGAGTGCGGGAGGTGCCGCTGGGGATGCGCAGGGTCGGTCGCCGTGAGGGAAGTAGGGACCGGGCCTGGTGGAACGCTGCAGCAGGTGCCCCGAGCGCCCGGGGCCGGTCTGAGAGGTGACCTCGAGGTGCACCTGTCATGAAGCCGGATGGGAAGGGACCTTGGTCCCGCTCGGTGTCACGCTGGGCCACCTGGGCGTCCTCGCTTCCTTCCGGACTGGGGTAATGAGGGCGGAGAGCTGAAGGCATCTTCCCATGCCTTGGGTTCCCTAAGCAAAAGGACTTACCCATTGCTTGAGAATCCCGGGCCAGCTCTTTCAGGTAACCCGATATAACACTAGTAGCAGATGGAAAGAGGGAACGGACGAAGGTGAGGGGAAGGAACTTAATGGAAAGGGGACGTGGGTCCAGGAGCGTGGGGAGAGAGAAGGAAAAGGGTAAAGAAGACAGGAGAAGAAGGGTTAGCAGGTCCGAGGGCGCCTGGTTGCCAGGTGTGTTGTTGCAAGAGGCACTATTCGTGTTTTCTCCTCCGTGAGTGGTCAGGTTGAGCTGCGGGAAGAGTAGATATAGCTGAGGAGCATACAGAGCCAGATGTGGTGGCTCCTGTTTGTAGTGCTAGCACTGAGGCAGCGGGGTTGCTGTGAGGTTGAGACCAGCTTCGGCTGTAAGCGTGAGAGGGTTTCCAAAAAGAAAGAAAGAAAACCAAAGAAACTTCGATAGCCTTAGAAATTGTGGGAGAAAGAATTGCTTTCTTTCTCCCTTCTATTTTTTTTCCTTTTCTTTCTCACTGTGTAGTCTCGGCTAGCCTGGAACCCCCTGTGTAGTGTAGACTAGGTTGCCCTTAAACTCACAGCCGCCTGCTGGAATTAAAGGTGCGTGCCTCCACCCACTGCACACAAAAGTGTTTTTCTTCATTTCATACTGTGCTGAAGTGTATTGATCAAGAATTAATCATTCAGCCCCATTTGTCTTTCCTGTCTTCAGAGCTTCAGGCCAATTGGATTTTGTTCTGTTCACAGAGTTGGGTACACCTTCCTGCCTAGGTGTTTTTTGCTTAAGTTGCAATTAGAATTTAATTGCATTCAGCCATCACTAGAACAGTTCCTGAGTCATAGAAGGCATCTACCACTGCTTCCTGAGTGCTGGGATTAAAGGCATGGGCCATCACCACCCAGCACATTTTTTTTTTCATCTTTTTCCTGAAGGAAGGGATAAAAAGTATCAAGGGAGGCCACCTAGCTCCAGCAGAAGCCAGACACTGCTGTAGACATCGAAGAAGCAGCTGAAGCCTGGCCTGGTGGCGCATGCCTTTAATCACAGCACTGGGAAGGCAGAGGCAAGCGTGATCTCTGTGAGTTCGAGGCCAGCTTGGTCTACAAATCGAGCCAGGGTTGTTATGCAGAAAAACCCAGTCTCGAAAAACAGAACAAAACAAATGAAAGGCATCAACTGAATGCAGGGGACCCAGGTGGGACTGGCCTGCACATGACTGGACTGTGTCAGACAGCATGGCTTCTCCATGTCAAAGGATTCTGCTGGGGAAATCGATACTTCACAGTTGCTCATGAGCAGCAGCTGAGGGTCCAGAGTGAGAGTCCTGAGGACCTCCGTGAGGTGCTGGGCAAGTTTGGGAGTATTTACTCTCTCCTTCCCCCAGGAGAGCAGACTTCTTCAGTTACTCCTCACACATGGCTTGAATGGAGTGCTGGAAACCGGTAGACAGCTAAGGTCTAGAAGGGTTCACAGTTGAGAGACGTAACAGTAGGTCACTTATATTCTGGTCTATGACCGCTCTGTATTCTTACAGATTTCTGAGGAATAAACACACGCACAAGTGCTGTGTGAGCCAACCTCTGTATTTACAGGAGTGTTCAGGCGCACACCCGTTGGCCACCCATGCTTCCAGACAGTAGCTCCCACCCCCTGAGACAGGGTTTCTCTGTGTAGCCCAGGCTGTCCTGGAACTCGCTCTGTAGACCAGGCTGGCCTTGAACTCAAACTTAGATTCACATTTCTATGCTTCTGAGTGCTGGGATTAAGGGTGTGCCCCACCATGCCCAGTGAGATGGTAGCCTCTTGGAAACTACTGTATACTTGTAAGAGAATGAGAATGAAGAAGGTAAAGATTTTTGTTTTGAATGTATGGACACCCTGAAAGGGTCTCAACAATTTAATTAACTTGGGGAGCAGTTTGACTTACTCTTAGTAACCGATGATAGTGGTACTATTGAAGGAAGTGGCTAACATGCCTTGAAATGTCCAGGAAGACCTTTTCTTACTCAGCCAGCAAAGAGTCAGTGACTTCCATGTGCAAGATGCCTCTCAGAAGACATGCTGGAGCCCTTCAAGAAGGAGCAATACACTGGACGGTGGCGGCACACAACTTTGATTCCAGTACTTGGGAGGCAGAGGCAGGCGGATCTCTGTGAGTTCAAGGCCAGCTTGGGCTACAGAGTGGGTTCCAGGACAGCCAGAGCTACACAGAGAAACCCTGTCTTGAAAACCCAAAATAAAAAGGAGCAGTAGGAGTTCCCAAGAGAACATTCCCGGATGAGTGCCACACAAGGCCTGGAGCGCACCTCACCGTTTCTGCCAGCTCCTGTGCCTGTGCGGTGGAATGGGAGCCCAGTTAATAGGAGCAGTAATGTTGGGAAGTGAGAGGGCAGAGGCTAGCCTACTTCTAGTCTGTTCTTTGGCAGTGTTAGGTGCTTCCTGAAGCCAGCCTGCTGTACAGAGAGCTGTGCTTGGGTGACATTGGTGTTTCCGGGCTGCTGCTCTCACCCATCACTGCGGTGAATGGTGTTTCCGGGCTGCTGCTCTCACCCATCACTGCGGTGAATGGTGTTTCCGGGCTGCTGCTCTCACCCATCACTGCGGTGAATGGTGTTTCCATGGATGTGGTTTGGGAAGTGGCAACTGAGTCTTCCTTTCTTTTTTGGTTTTGCAAGATAGGGTTACTCTGTGTATCCTTGGCTGTCTCGGAACTTTTGTGTAGACAGGCTGGCCTCGAACGAAGAGATCGGATTGCCTCTGTCTCCTAGAATTAAAGGCATGTATGTACTACCACTGTTGTGCCCAGGTCGTAAGACCCCCAAGCAAGACCACCACAGAGCCGATATCTGATGCAAGCACACAGAGGTTTTTAATAACAAAACAAGCAAGCTCGGGGCTTGGTCCTGGAGTCCAACATCTGACACAGCGGTGGAGGAGGACGGCCAAGCACTCACTTGAAGGGGTTTATATAGGAGAGGTTTACATACAGCTTGGGATTGGACGAGGGGGCTGGGGTGAGGTGGTTCTTTGAAGTTACTGGCTGAACTAGAAGCATGAGGTTACTGATGGTAACAGGATTCAGGGTATCTACAGAGACATCCATTTTTTTACTCCCAATGTCCTGTTTTTGCTGAACCCAGGATATATACATTCAGATTTATTGTTACAGTCCTGTGTTCTCATAAGTTCAATTTCTAGTCAGTTGATTCCCATATCCTGTTTTACCAAATCCAGAATATATAGATTTATTGTCTCAGCCTTATCTTCCCATGAGTTCAATTTCTGGTCAGTTCTAAAACTGCTGGTCAGCAAATACCTTTAGATGGGGAGGGGGAGCGGGAACCTCTCTCAAGAGGGCTACTGATTTTTCTTTTTCACCACCACCACCTGACTAACAGACTTTTTTATGCGTTAATATTTGTTAAGTAGTATTAGGTTAAGATATAGTGATATTTTGCTGATATAAAAAATGGTTACAAGTTTCCACTGTTTCTCTTATGTCCTGATTGTAGTTTGGATGGCCTAAGATGGTGACTTGCTGTAGGTGTGTTCCATGTAGCATTCTGTAATCGCTTGTTTTTCTGAACTCAGAGCAGGGCCTTACATCTGTGTATCCCTAAAGCGCAGTGGTTCTCAAGCAGAGATGGTTTTGTCTCCCGGGGGCAATTGGACTGTCTGGAGACATTGTTGGTTGTCACAGCTGGTGAGGAGGGAGGTGGTGTGGGCCTGGCATCTGGCGGGCAGAGGCTAAGCATGTTCCCCAGGACTGGCAGTGAGCAGGACATTTCTGGCAGCACAGAGGGACCCCTGGTGTCAGTAGTGTGGGCACTGAGAGGCCCGGCTGCCCGGCAGGGGTGTGAGTGGACACTTGGGAAACAGCCGGATCTCCTGGAGGCCCTTGGGGCCGTGACTGTGTTCTCACTGACATCTGCGGTGTGTTTGCAGGGCTTCCTAAGGGAACCCAGGTCACTGAAGTGTTTGTTATGTTCCTGTGTCGCCACCTTGTAACCCATCAGAAAAACAAGTCATTACAGTGTTTATGACTTGATGTTAGCGGGCTCAAATAAAGTACGGCAGATGAAAAGTATGTTAGTTGAACATGGGGGTAACTACAGCTAATATTTTGGTATTAATGTTTGTCAGTCATGACTGGAGCGGGGTTGCCCAGGTTTGCATCTTGGTCCCAACACTTCACCCACTCACCATTTTGCTAGCCCTGCTACTAGAATTTTAATTTTAGAAAACGAACATGATGCTTAACAATGGCATTGCTGTTCCCTGGTGACAAGGTGAGCAGGCAGGGTCCTGCCTGTCCCTGGTGTAACCTTCTGTGTCCAGGCACTTCCTCCCCGGTTTTCGTCGCCGTGTTCTTAGCTCCCTGACATGATGTGGACTGCAATTTGTTTTATCAGCTTGACACGCTGATGTCTTTTGAGAACTGAATGAGAGGTGGCTTAGCTGGGCAGTTCTAGTGAAGCTGGGTTCAGAAAGGGATCGGTAGGTGTGACGTCATTTTGGAAGGGGTCTGGAGTAGTTTGAGAGGTCTGCACCCTGTATTGAGGAGCTGATCATCAGCTCCACCATTGAACCGACTGAGGCCCTGAGGAATTTAATATTTGTTTTGAGCCCACCAGCTGGTAAGTGGGCCAGGAGTCCTTATTTGCTGCCTTTCCAGTGGGTGATCTGCAGAGCTGAGGTGTCTCCTCTCCTGGTGAGAGACTGCCGAAGACAGCTGGCACAAGACGCTGTGTGTTAGGTGAGCTAAGTCTAGCTTTGAAAGACCCTGACCAGCATCTCTGTTTCCACAGCAATTGCCTGTTCCGAGCTCTGGGGGATCAGCTGGAGGGTCACTCCCGGAACCATCTCAGACACCGACAGGAGACGGTTGACTACATGATAAGGCAGCGTGAAGATTTCGAGCCCTTCGTGGAAGATGATGTTCCTTTTGAGAAGCATGGTAGGTTCACTGTGGGACCCTGGGTCCTTCAGGAGCCATGCTGGGTCATCAGCCCACCCCCACCCCACCCCCACCGCCCAGGGTTTGCTTATGTAAATTATGCCATTGGCGCAACAAACACTTATTCACATATTCTGTGATAAGCCCATGCTGTGCAACGGGGAATCTAGATTTGGATGTATGTCTCCTTGAATAAAAGTGATGGCCTTGGTGGGTAAGGGTGTGGCTCAGGGATAGAGTGCTTGCCTCACAGGACTTGGTCCTCACTCAGCACCACTACCACCTTAGAAAAGAAAGAGGAGATGATGATAATTGACAGAGACTTTTGACCTCCTACCAGTGGGATGGGAAATAAGCTGTAAGAGTGCATGCACACAGAATCCACCTTTTAGACTGCGTGCAGGGTGGAGGTCTGGACAGATGCTAGCATTTTGTGGTAGTTCCTTATTGCTTCTTGAAATTTTTATCAAAAGGTGATAGTAAAGCACCCATCTGAAAGGATTTGTTGTTGGTTCTTTTTCTTTGGTGAAGATTAACTTAGATAAAAAATTAAATTCTTAAGTTTGCTGTCTGGGGATGATAGTGTGAATTGTCTTCTGTAGTTTTTTTTATTTTAAATAATCATGTATTTATAACTAGAAAAAAGAAATCAGCAAGCCCATGTTAACATCTCATCAAAAACCTAAAAATATACCCTCGCCCCTTTTTGGAAATAGTGTCTTTAAAACAACTGTGTCAGTACTTAGTTTTGCGTGTGTATATAACCTGACCTTTGATCCTCCCAAGTGTTACACATGCCACCACCCCCAGTTTATGGGGTCCGGGGTGGAACTCGTGGCCTCTTCATGCTGAGCAAGTGTTTTCCTTACTGAGCTGTATCCTCACGCACAACAGCATCTCCACCACAAGGCTGACATCTGTGTCTTAGCAGGATGAGGGCACGGTCTCTGTTTGGAGGACAGTGTGGGGGCCACATTGAGAATGGAGGGGAGCAAGTCTGGGAGGGGAGGCTGGTGAGGAGGCTCTCCGTATGGGCAGTTCCGAGAGGGATGTGAAGGGCCAGTCCCAGAGCAGTTGGAGGGGTAGTTTACTCAGGCAAGGGGACCAGCGTGGTTCACAAGGTCCTGCTTAAGAAGATCTCCAAGCATGGAGCATGGAGAG